ATGAGAAACCTCGACAGCATCTTAAAAAGCAGAGACACAACCTTGCCAACAAAGATCCGCATAGTCAAAGCTATGGTTTTTCCAGTAGCAATGTATGGAAGTGAGAGCTGGACCATAAAAAAGGCTGACTGCCGAAGAATTGATGCCTTTGAATTGTGGTGCTGGAGGAGATTCTTGAGAGTCCCCTGGACTGCAAGGAGAACAAACCCATCCATTCTGAAGGAAATCAACCCTGAGTGTTCACTGGAAGGACAGATCCTGAAGCTGAGGCTCCAGTACTTTGGCCATCTCATGAGAAGAGAAGACTCCCTCGAAAAGACCCTGATGTTGGGAAAGTGTGAAGGCAAGAGGAGAAGAGGATGACAGAGGACAAGGTGGCTGGACAGTGTCATCAAAGCGACCAACATGAATTTGACACAACTCCGGGAGGCCGTGGAAGACAGGAGGGCCTGGCATGCTCTGATCCACGGGGTCATGAAGAGTTGGACATGACTAAACAACCACAAAAGTGGTTTGCAATCTCCTGTATGTTGTGTGGTCACTGGGAAATAGCTCACACTGGACTGTGGCATAAGTGGTCCAAAAATATGAGCTGTTTCCCCGATTGATTGCACCATCTTCTTGTTGTTATGTATGTGCTGTCAGGTCATCCCTGATTTATGGCAACCCGCTGTATGAGCGATCTCCAGACTTAAGCCTATGGCTTCCTTTGGGAGTCGGTCCATCTTGTATTTGGTCTTCCTCTTTTCCTGCTGCCTTCCTCTTTTCCCAGCCTTATTGTCTTTTCCAGAGAATCCTGCCTTCTCATAATGTTCCCAAACTTCGGCTTCAACATTTTTGCCTCCAGAGACAGTTCAGCCTGGATTTGACCTAGGACCACTTCTTCAACTTTCTGGCTGTCGAGGTTATCCACGAAGCTCTCCTCCAGCACGACATTTCAAACCAATCAATCCCCCCCGTCAGCTTTGTTAACTGTCCAGCTTTCACACACATACATGGTGATCGGAAATACAAGTGTGTGGCTGAGCTTGGTCTTGGTTTCCAGAGACATATTCTTGCACCTTAAGAGAGATGAATTGGTCCAAGGTTTCCAGGTATGTTTTACAACTTGAGTAAGGATTTGAAACAGAGCCTTACTAGTCTTCATATACTGTATTTTTCGCGCCATAAGACGCACCTTTCCATAAGACGCACCAATTTTTTAGGAGAAGAAAACAGGAAAATATAATCTGTTTTCTTCACTCCATAAGACGCACAGACTCCCCACCCCCGTGTTTTGTGGGAAAAAAGTGTGTCTTATGGTGCAAAAAATACGGTAACTCTCTAGCCATCACGAGCTTGCTCATATTTTCTTCTACCTGTTGACAGGGGGATTCTGGAAGTTGTAGTCCAAAAATATGACATTTCCAGTCTCGGACGCAGAGCTCTACCCAATGTCCAAATCACCCTTCCTCAGCAACTCTGTAAGACTCGGTGAGATTTTTGAGCAGTGAAACAGGAACCAGGTTTATGTCTCCCTCCCTTTCTGTTACTTTTCTATTCCCAGTAGCTTCCCGCATAATATTTTCTCCTCTGATTTCCTTTGCTTATTAACCCTTTCCCCCCTAATTCTGGGGGTAATGGTGGCAGTCAAAACATATTTCAATAAAACTTCCGAATTTTTCCTCAGCATGCAACTGCACCCTACCGTCTCCTTTTATTTATTTACAAAAAACATTTTGTTATTCGCCTTTCTCCTTAAAAAGGACCCAAGGCAGCTTACATCATTATAAGACAACATTTCAAAGCTGAAAACAGTAAGTTTACAAATATTTTCAAAGAAATAAACATATATCAACGACGGTAAATAAAATCATTATTAAAACACATTTAAAAGCAACAAGGCACAACAATTTTTTTAAAAAAATTCTCTCCTTTCTCTTTTCTTTCTGTTTAAAATTAAAAGCAACAAGGCATAACAATTTTTTTTAAAAAAAATCCTCTCCTTTCTCTTTTCTTTCTGTTTAAAAAACAATCACGTATCTTTTATAATCTAAGAACTGCCGAGCTGGAAGGGATCTTATGGATCATCAAGTTCAGCCCTTGTCAAGGGGGCCCAGTCAGGAATCGAACTCACAACCTCTGTGGAAATCATCACGGAGCTATCTGGCAGTTCATTATTGATCCCTCTTTTTTCAAACCACACATTAAGAGCTATTTGAAAAGGAACAACAACAACAAATGTATCATTCATCTGATAGGAATTTTCTTTCACTTCTTTAAAATAAAGATTTATAAACATCTGTAACAGAACACAGATTTGTCCTCTTCTAATGGGCCAGAATTTTGCTTCTATTCATTTTTCATTAGAAGTTACCAAAATCTGAATGTGCGAAAAAGCAAACCAGACAGAGCTATCTGTTTCTAGCTATAGTCTACTAGGAGAGCGACTGTACACCTCTCACCACAGAAGTGATCAGTTTTCGAGGCAACCTACTGTATATAACATGCTTAGTGTGTACTTCAAAATAGTGCTCCCTCAAGAGATGAAAAGCATCTGATTGGTCACTGGAAAGTAAACAAGGGCTTACTTTCGAAGCCTAATTCCTGAAGCATGCATGTTCTCTGATTATGCTGCTTGAAGAAAAATATGTTAATCAGAGGGAATAAGAGAGTGCGTGTGGTTATTAGAGTTTTACACTAGGACTGGGAAGATTTGAGTTCGAATCCTCACTCAAACCATGAAAGTTACCAAGTAACCTTGGAACTATCAGCCTCGCAGCTTAGTATAGTTCACTGGTTTGCTGTGAGGATAAAATGGCTATGGGGGACCTTCTATATTGTCTTAAGATTCGTATAGGAAGTGGACAATACAAAAAGAATTCAAAGTGATAGTCTGATTTTTTTCATCTTAAGGAAAACCCATCCATACTTTTCCATTTCTCTTATTTCTGGTGCGGTTGTTTCTCTTGAGCAACCCATTGTTTTGGGACTTGAGATACCGACAGTCGTGAGGAAACAGAAACTAAGCTGCCTGCAATCATGAGTAAAGTCTGTGGTCTCCTTTCAGGCTGCAAAACTGGATGAATAACTTGTTTTGAATGACTGGAAACACTGAGAAAAAGCCATCGCTTAATCCTAGTGGAGAGGTGTGTCTCTTCTGTGGAACACTGAACAATGGTTGCATTAAGAGGCTCGTTTATGACTGTAATTTTATTTAATGCATTTTATTTTGCAACCATCTTAATTAGATTTAGGATAAGAATAAGAACAAGAAACCCTTCAAAGCGACGGACCTTCACATTTGCTTATAGCTGTGCCATGTAAGACTATGAAAAAAATTGCAGAAAACAGATGTTCACCAAACAAGGTGTCAGATAAAAGTCTTGAAGAAGAGGGTGCCAACTGGAAGAGCTTCCGATCTGGTTTCAGGCCACATGGCTGGGGCACCTCCCATATTTATAGGCAGCACATTAGCACTGCACATGCAGTAGCCAGGATCATCAGCAACTGAATAGGCCTTGTAAGGCAGTGGTCCCCAACCTTGGACCTCCAGATGTTCTTAGACTACAACTCCCAGAAGCTTTCACCACCACCTCTGCTGGCAGAAGCCTTCAACACCACCTCTGCTGGCCAGGATTTCTGGGAGTTGAAGTCCAAGAACATCTGGAGCCCCAAGGTTGGGGACCACTGTTGTAAGGCATGGCAAGTCTAAAATCAAGACCTTGCCCCTCCATTAGGCAGGAGGAGAGAATTATTTCAAATGACAGCTGTTGAGGACACCAGTTTTATCTCCTCTTCATTATTCCTCTTGAAAAGCTCCCTTCTGTTCTTCTTCAAACTGATCTGACCCCATCAGGCCCAGTAAAGGACTCTATCTCAATATCCAAGTTGAAGTATATTTCAAATAGAAGTGTGGATATTTGTGTTTCTGGACTGCTACGCCATGCTGCCTGGGGAATTCTGAGCGCAGCAGTCCAAAAACTGCTATACATGGGTCTATTCAATTGTCTATCCACGTGGCTTCTGTCCATGATATTAGATTAGGCATTCTTCAGTCTTGAGAGACTATGGTAATGTGCTCTGAATAGAGGTCTTGGAACAGCGTCTAGTGTGGCTGAAAAGGCCAATTCGAGAGTGACCATCCCTTCCAAACTGATGACAAATACAATCTGTCTCCTGTCCAGCTCCCTGGTTTTGCTTGTTTCAGGACTGCCTCTTTGCCTCGGCTTGCTGGACAAGGGTCTTTTCAAAATGGGAGAGGCCATGATGCACCGCCTGCCTCCAGGCTGAAAACTCGGATGTCAGGATTTCCCATCTGTTGAGGTCCATTCCTAAGGCCTTCAGATCCCGCTTGCAGATGACCTTGTATCGCAGCTGTGGTCTCCCTCTGGGGTGCTTTCCCTGCACTAATTCTCCATACAGGAGATCTTTTGGAATCCGACCGGCAGCCATTCTTACGACATGCCTGAGCCAATGTTGACGTCGCTGTTTCAGCAATGCATACATGCTAAAAATGTCCATGATATAGAACAGAACCATCTCCTCCTTTGGCCCAGACAACCAAATCATCATTAGTGTTGCCCACACATTTTATTTTCCTTTCCTTTTGCTTTTTCACACCAGTTCCAAGAATCCCATAAGCAATGGCTGCATAAGCTATGAAATTCTGTCATCTGTATTCCGGAAAATAAATGTTTCCCATCTCCAAGCTGCATCTTCTCAGCAAATATTATTAGAAGGGTCGGTAGCAAGCCATGTATTAGCTAAAATTGCAGAGAGTCCACATGAGCCCAGGAAAGCTAAGCATTTACCTTCAATCCAGGATAGTCCGAGGGCTGAAAGCCAAGGGTCCACTCTGGGAGTTGCAGTCCAAGAACACCTGAGTTACCCAAGATTAGGTACTACCGGTCTAAGTCAAAGGCAACCAAATCCAGATAGTTTTGTCCCTGAACTATTCCATACTTCCGAGAAATGAGAAAAATACAACATTGTGTTGATATTTGCCATTTTTGGTTTTGTGTCTCTGAGACACTGAACTCCATAAACTATTTTCTTCATGTCTTTATTCCATTTTCAGAGTTAATCTTGTGATCACGTAACTTTTCAGGCTGAATGGGAAGACATATCACTCCCATTTCTTCTCCTTACAATGACGCCCTTCCAAAACATCAAGAAAAAAACCCCACCCTATATTTTAATCCCACCTAAACTGGGGGAGACCGGGGAGAAATGGATAGCCCAAAATCTCATTAGTAAACAAAATAATGATTGAACAGACTGTTTTAGAGCCCACTACATGTGTTTCTAACAATCCAGCAACAAGAGTTTATGGAGTTTGTTCAGATCACCTGATCAATCTCCATAGATTTAGGCAATTCCAGCCCATCCGTAGAAGAAGCAGCTTCCTTTCTGTACTTGGTGGGCTTTCTAGAATAGTACCCACTTTCTTCGAGCAGAACTTTCCTGAATGCCCCCGTCAAGTTGAGGCGTCCTATCTTCTTACGGAAATCCAGTCCCATGAAGAAGTAAAGGATGGGATTGGCACAGCTGTTGAGGTAGGCCAGGGAGGAACTGAGAGGAAGCCCAACAGAAACGGCTTTGTTCTTCACTCCCGCCAATTTGAGGAGGAGGAAGAGGTGGTACGGTGCCCAGCAGAGGAAGAACGTGATCACGATGGCCAGTATGACCTTGAAGGGCCTCTTGGAGCGCAAGGTGGCTTGCCGTCTTGTCAACTTCAGGGTGATGACCCCGTAGCAGATCACAATGATGGTGAACGGAGCCAAGAAGCCACAGATGAACCTCAGCAGGTACAAGGCAAGCTGGGCCACCTTGTCGTCGCCCAGCGAGAGAGAGCACTTGGTCCGGTTGTCCTTCTCGATTGCTGTGGTACGATAGACGTAGAACGGGAGGCTGGTGGCCGTAGCTGCAGACCAGGCCCCAACGGCGGCTATCCAGGCTAAGCGGGGTCCTCGGCGTGTTTTGGACCAAACCGGGAAGGCCACGGAAGCCGCTCGGTCCAAACTGATATCAGCCAAGAGAAAGACGCTGCAGAACATGTTAAGGTATTTGAGGAAGCTGTTGGCTTTACAGAGGAAGGACCCAAAAGGCCATCCATCATATAGCGCGTTTTTTATCAGAGGCACGATACGGGTCACGGAGAACAGGAAGTCGGCCATGGCAAGGTGGAAGAACCAGACACAGTTGACGGTGCGTGATGCCTGGCGGGCCGTGATCCAGATCACAATCCCGTTGCCGAAGGACCCGATGAGGAAAACCACGCTGTAGAAGAAGACCTGAATGATATCCATGATGTCGCTTACTTTGATTTCCGTTTTAGAAGAGATCAACAAGGAGACGTTGGTAGGCCACACCGTGGTGATGTTCGCTTCCATGATGGAACCTGAGAAAGAAATAAGACGTTAGATCGCTGTTCTCAGATTGAGAACCCTGGATTGTTGTTGTTTTGTTGTGGTGGCTGTTGTCTTGCATTTGTGTCTCACTGACTTACAGAGGCCCCAGTAAGAGGGTTTCCATGGCCAAAGAGGAATTTGTTTGTTTTTCGTGTCTTACTGACTTACAGAGGCCCTAGCAAGACCCGAGGCAAGTGAGATATTTAAGGGGCGGTTTTACCAGTTCCACTCCCACTCTAGAGGGTTTCCATGGCCAAAGAGGAATTTGAACCCAGTTCTCCAGACTCCCAGTCTGTCACTTGATCTACAACACCACACTGGGCACCTAGAATTGCAATTGCTTTTGTGGATATAGACAGAAAATATCACACTGCCTCATAGGTGCTAAAAATATTACAGTTCCTGTTCTCTCCTTCAAGAACTAGATAAGCAAAGATTTCCCTGAGATGGTCCAATAATGAATAATTCTCCCTGTCCTCAACCTGGATTGGTGATCCTTTGTTTATTTCCAAACTGTGCAGAATTTGGATTAGAGCCCATCCCTCGTAGTCATGAGCCCAACACCCAATAGTACCCTTTCATCCACCACTTTTGTATCCTTCCTGTTGGCTCTGGGGAGGAGGGGTAGCAAGTCAAGAAAGAAGACCCAAGATACAAAAGTCCCAGGTTCATGCAGAATTTGGTTTAGAGCCTCGTATTCATGAGCCCAACGTCCAATGGTACCCTTTCATCCACCACTTCTGTATCCTTCCTGTTGGCTCTGGGGAGGGGGGGTAGCAAGTCAAGAAAGAAGAAGACCCAAGATACAAAAGTCCCAGGTTCTCTTCTGGACATTACCTTCCGAAGCAGGGAACCAATCATCGCAAAGTGAAAAAAACCCATTTAGACCATCATTTTGAGATCGCAATTGCGATCGCAAAAAGATCATCGTAATGCGGTTTCATCGTAATGTGGGGCGATCGTAAAGTGAGGCACCACTGTAGTTAGAGCAGTCTTTTCTGGGAGGATTTGCCTCTCAAATCAGTCTTTTCTGGGAGGATTTGCCTCTCAATGTGCTGACGAACAGCATCCCAAAGACCAGAGAAGGGAGGGGGCCACAGATTTCCTCCCCTCATTAGGCTCCTTTGTCATGGCATGCCCACAGTCTCGCCATAAGCAGAGGTTTGTAAGATGAGTGGCCAATCCTTCCTGGGAGGACCCTGGTGGTTTTAAGGCTGACTTTGTATTCAAGACCAGCCCACACATTTTAAAGACTAATCTCTAAGGCAGGAGATAGGAATCCTCATGATGACACATGAAGCAGATAAAAGCTAAACAATGGTAGATTTCTGGGAGCCTAAAATATAAACCCAAAGAGGAAGCTTTCCGTCGCATCTCTGCGTGATCTGCTGGTCTGAGCCTGCCTTGACTACCGTCTTGAAGCTACATTACTCTTCTGCCCTGATTCAGAGTTGGCTGTAGTTGATGGCATTCAGTCATTTTCTCTGCACAGAAGCCCCCAAATTATCTTTGATTTGAGGCTTCCTCTTGGCAAGTCTGCATGAGATACTATTCTGGGTCGCCTCCTTTTACTCAGGAAGCTTAACCGGAGATACACCTCACAGAGGAAAGATGGGCTTTCTGAACTGGGCTTTCTAAAGGGAACAATGGTGTGGGGTTTTGTGGAGACCATGCCCTAGCAAAGAAGGCTGAAGGATCTAGGTATGGTTGAGTGGAAGAGGTCAAGACCGTAGGACAGTCTGGTAGAAATCTTAAATTCAGTTATTGGAAGCAGCATTACTTGGAGATACAGCTAACCGGTTTTCTGTTCGTGAAACAATGGTTCTAGGATACAAGAAAGGGAATTTCAACAAACATAAAGAATGTTTTTGGTATATAAAAAGGTAAAGGTTCCCCTTGACATTTTTTAGTCCAGCTGTGTCCGACTCTAGGGGGTGGTGCTCATCCCCGTTTTTCAAGCCGTAGAGCCAGCGCTTGTCCGAAGACAGTTTACATTGTCACGTGGCCAGCGTGACTAGGGAGTGCCATTTTACCTTCCCACCAAGGTGGTACCTATTTATCTACTCGCATTTACATGCTTTCGAACTGCTGGGTTGGCGAGGAGCTGGGACAAAGTGCCGGGAGCTCACTCCGTTGTGTGGATTCGATCTTACGACTGCTGGTCTTCTGACCCTGCAGCACAGAGGCTTCTGCGGTTTAGCCCACAGCGCCACCACGTCCCTTTTTGGCATATAAGCTGTTTGAAAATGGAACACAAACAGGATGGCGATTTCTCTTTTGCATGTGGCATTTAAGCAAAGATTGGATTGTCATTTCTAAGGAATATTTTAAGAGTTGATTTTGTTCATCAATAGATGGTTTTCAATTTGCTCTCCCTGGGTTTTTCCTTCCTTCCTTCCTTCCTTCCTTCCTTCCTTGATTGATTGATTGATTGATTGATTGAGTGATTGATTGCCACAAGACTATTACTCTTGCTCTTTTTGTTAACATGCCATGAATTTTCCTCAGGCTTATGCTGACCTTATGAATGAATTACCTCTGGAGTGTGCTGTCCTCAATTGCCTGGCTCAGCTCTTGCAAAGTCAAGGCGGTGATTTCCTTTATTACGTCAATCCATCTCACCTTTGGTTTTTCCCTTTCCCTGCTAGCTCCAGCTTTTCCCAGTGTTATTCCCTTTTCCAGTGGCTGTTGTCCTGTCTTATTGATCCATACTAGGATGACTGTTGCTGCTACACATGCCAAAACTAAATCTTTCAGGGCATCAAAACACAAAGGGGTATTTATTTCTCTTTTCTCTCTACCACTCTCTTCCTCTGGTCTCAAAGTGCCTTCATTTGGAGGCCAATGGGGAACATTAAGCTGCTGTCGCAAACTGTGTCTCTCCAGCAGAACCTGGAAAAATTTGGAGTACAAAACGCTGAATCCTTCAGTTTGCCTGGTTAGTTTTCTATACAACGTTTTCTTTGCAACGTGACGGGCAGGAAGTGTTTGATGATGAAAACTGTGGAACATGGGTTTCTTTGTGGATAACTCACTGAGTTCCAATTTCCCTCTGAAGTTACACAAATGCTATTGGACACCCAGAGGAAAAATCATGACTTACTCTCAACTTTAGACAACACAATCAAAACACATGGGATGTAGCATGCCACCCCCACCAAAAAAAGACACAATTGCAAGTAATTAACACACACACACACACACAAAATATATGAAACAATACTGGGACAATCAGTTCCACAAAAGAAATCAAATCACATTTCCCTTCTTTTGCAAAAGATCTAGGAAAAGATTCAGAGGCAGATAGATCATCCTCAGGACCGTTCGGATAACAACACCCAAGGGGATGAAAGGTTCCGTAATTACCTGTCAGAAGAAGTGGCAGAAGTCAGGTCTCTTGTCCTTCACCCACGTCCTTTCCAAGGGAACTGACAGTTTACTGGGTTGGCTGTCCGCCTTCTCCGCTCTGCTGAGATTTTGGTCCTGAGCCAAAAATGAAGATTAGCTCCTGATGAAAAGAGGAACTTGGTGAGATGGTTATTTCATTTTTGTGTGGCAGACAGGAACAAGCAAGAGGCACCCGTGGGGGTTCAGGATCCTTCCCCAAAAGGATGGGATGCCCCACCACCACCGTTGTAAGCATTTATGAAGCACAAAGTTCCTTAAACTCAA